GGCTATGTACCATTAATGTGTACCGACAGTAAAAAAACCCGGCAAATCCCCCATTGTAACATCTACTTGAAGAATCATCCACTGATCGCCTGCCTTTTGGCTCAGGCCAGTGACAATCGGCCTAAAAGGCATTTTACCTGAACTGTTTATCCACCCACAGACACGTACCTTTTCAGGTGTCAGAATCGCTTCAGTTGTCTCTTTCAGGACAGGAAATCGAGCACAGGTTGCTGTTGTTACTGTTGGGTGCGTCAGCCTCCTTCGGTAGCTGATCCGCAATGGCGTGTGACAAACAACCCAGGATTGGTCTTAGTAGTTACGTAAATGGTGGGGTTGATTGTCTGAAGCTGGCTATTTGAACAACATAAATGACACTTTGAAATGTGTATCACTCTAAAGGTCTTAAGTTGCATATTCAATAAAAGTATTGAATAAAAACGCCTTTTTTAAATAATAATAAAAATGGGCAAAAAGAGAAAAAAATACATTTTTACTTTATTGACATAGGAATAATAACTATTAGTAAGTAAAACAGATAAAGTTAAAAAAACATCCCTGACCTTCTGACTTTGGGAGTGGAAAATTTCAAGGCACTTGCCGGTTGAGCCATGTTTAGTAAATTTCAATAGCGAATAAACAACAGGAATAAAGGTAAGTAGCATGACTATTGGTTCTTTATCCGCACACCATTCGTATAAGTCACCAAGGGCCACAACATTATGTACAGCTTTTGTCGGAAAATGCCCCCCCCCCCTAAAAAAAAAAAAAAAAACAAAAACAAATAGAACGATTCTAAACGCGTGTATAAGGTAGCAGAACACAGTTTTCGCCCTATGGGGATTTCTATAGTTAAGGACCCCAAGATGACTCACTTCGACGCGGTAAAAATTATAGCAGGGTGCACTTCACAAATACGAAAATCGAATATGTTTGAGAAGAAGGTACAAACTACAAAATATCTAGAAACCAAAAAATCCTGTCGGCGTATCTGCTCGTAACGTACACTTTGAAGTCACCCCCTACCGACGTGACCTGAACTGCAGCCGACTCACCCGGAAAGCCAGTTGCGCAATACGGCGCATTTATACACGAACTGCAAAACCTTCACAATTCAAATCATACAGTCTCAAACCCGATACATTCCTACACCACACAGCACAATTTACGTCTGGCTGACGCTCTTATCAGGCTTTCTACCCAGCCTTCAAGAATATTCGCTGCACTACTTTCTATACCCGCGTCATCGTCCCCGGGGGTCGCCCATTAATACTGTGTTCTGCTACCTTGAACCAACTTGACCTTGGATTTTCTTTCGGTCAGTCGACAAAACTAAACAAGATGCGAAACCTGGCCAAATTTTAGTTCACAACTCCAAACGGTTGCTGAGATATTGCCAACTTTGCACTTCGGCACCTGCCATAGGGCTAGGGCCCGTCCAAGGCCCGTACGAGGGGCCATTTAGTGGTCCCATTATCCAATAAAATGTACTATTCTGGCCCTCTTTTTCTTGTTAACAATGATCATCAGTGCCTACTCTATCATTTAGAGTGATTTTTACTTAGTGTAAGGCTTGTTTACGGCAAAAAGGGGGGGGGGTGAACGCGGCTTCTGGCCGGTGGCACTTCCCACTAAGTCCCATAGTTAAGCATAGGCGGCGGTCATAGTGGGCCGTTGCCATGGCAACGGGGGTCTGACGGTGAAACAAACTGGTACATTTTAAGTGAGTCTACGTCAGTACTTGGTATACCAAGAAAATTTGGTCGAAAATACCGCTGCTTGGAATTAATGGCCAATTCCCTTGTCTATTGAAAAACGCCTGGAATAATTTGTTCACACTACCTCCATACCGAACGTTAGGTCATTTAGCCCCAAAATAAAGAAATTGAATCCATTTAAAGAAATGGCAGGAGAAGAAGAAGGAGGAGGGGGAGAAGAAACATTAGGATAGACAACGTGTATTCATCGCACCACAATGCGGTGTTGGAGAATTTCTTGCAGTAATATACGGTGATGGCGAAATGACGACGTTGGGGATATGGCTAGGGTTAGGCGTGGACACGTTCGCCCGCCCTCTCATATACTATGGCATGGAGTGAAATATTGTTTTTCCTCATGATTCTCCTTCTCCTGCCATTTCTTTAATATTTTATTTCAACATATTCACCGAGAAAGGGCGGGACATGAACGCTATTATCATATAGCTTACACGATAGCCTATCCAAACTGATGCAGTAAGTGACACAATGTACAATTTACCCGTTGCACATGCTGAATAGAACATAGAACATAGTTTTGTCTGGAGTCAGCTGAGGTCACTGGGTAGAGTTCACGTTAACTGGGTCAAAGGCAGGGAACAGGTGTTGTTATGGGAGTCACCCGAGGTCATTGGAACACAACTTAAGTTATGTTTGGATTTTTTTAGAACTAGAGCCATGTTCTATTGGGTCACCTGAGGTCATATGCGGGTGATTATTGTTTTTCTAAATGTATGGATTGGGATGAATAAATACCCGATTTTGACTCTATTTTTGACATTACGGCGTCATAAGGAATGTGGAATGGAGCCTTCTGATTGGTCAGCGTAACCTGACTATATAATAAATTGATTTAAAAACTCATTTTGGGGCTTTTTTTTCCTTTTTTTCATACAAGCTTTTACAATCGTTTTATTTTATTTTTTGGCTGTTTCAATGGAAACTATATTGTGTGGCATGTGTGCAGGTGTGTTTCTTCTTCTTCATTGGTTGTTGAGTTAATTGAATTATCTGCATCAGCTCCACCTCCAGTGACGAATCATAGAAATCTTTTCAAATCCCCCACGAATTTCCAACGTTGAAGCTGATTGGTTAGGAATTTATAGATATGGTTGACTCAAACACGTGACCACAAGAACTACGATATGAAAGACCTTTAGGCATATCAAGTCATGAATATGCAACCCCTGAAGAGACTAGTGTATTTTTCAAACTAGTAACTAGAGAAGGGACAGGCTGTCGTTTCAACGGATTCCGAAAGGGGCGCATATTTCGCTGTACACCGACACCTCGTGCTGCACGGACTTGTCGTCAAGAACGCAAAACGCCTCGCGACCGGCGTT